AGAGAGAGAGAGAGAGTGGGATAATGAGTGGGAGAGAATGAGATGAGGGAGAGAGAGAGAGAGAGATAAGAGAGAGAGAAGAGAGAGAGAGAGAGAGTGGGATAATGAGTGGGAGAGAATGAGATGAGGGAGAGAGAAAGAGATGAGGGAGAGAGAAGAGAGAGAGAGAGAGTGGGATAATGAGTGGGAGAGAATGAGATGAGGGAGAGAGAAAGAGATAAGAGAGAGAGAAGAGAGAGAGAGAGAGAGTGGGATAATGAGTGGGAGAGAATGAGATGAGGGAGAGAGAAAGAGATGAGGGAGAGAGAAGAGAGAGAGAGAGAGTGGGATAATGAGTGGGAGAGAATGAGATGAGGGAGAGAGAAAGAGATGAGAGAGAGAGAAGAGAGAGAGAGAGAGTGGGATAATGAGTGGGAGAGAATGAGATGAGGGAGAGAGAAAGAGATGAGGGAGAGAGAAGAGAGAGAGAGAGAGAGTGGGATAATGAGTGGGAGAGAATGAGATGAGGGAGAGAGAAAGAGATGAGGGAGAGAGAAAGAGATGAGAGAGAGAGAAGAGAGAGAGAGAGAGTGGGATAATGAGTGGGAGAGAATGAGATGAGGGAGAGAGAAAGAGATGAGGGAGAGAGAAGAGAGAGAGAGAGAGAGTGGGATAATGAGTGGGAGAGAATGAGATGAGGGAGAGAGAAAGAGATGAGGGAGAGAGAAAGAGATAAGAGAGAGAGAAGAGAGAGAGAGAGTGGGATAATGAGTGGGAGAGAATGAGATGAGGGAGAGAGAAAGAGATGAGGGAGAGAGAAGAGAGAGAGAGAGAGAGTGGGATAATGAGTGGGAGAGAATGAGATGAGGGAGAGAGAAAGAGATGAGGGAGAGAGAAGAGAGAGAGAGAGTGGGATAATGAGTGAGAGAGAATGAGATGAGGGAGAGAGAAAGAGATGAGGGAGAGAGAAGAGAGAGAGAGAGAGAGTGGGATAATGAGTGGGAGAGAATAAGATGAGGGAGAGAGAAAGAGATGAGGGAGAGAGAAGAGAGAGAGAGAGTGGGATAATGAGTGGGAGAGAATGAGATGAGGGAGAGAGAAAGAGATGAGGGAGAGAGAAGAGAGAGAGAGAGAGAGTGGGATAATGAGTGGGAGAGAATGAGATGAGGGAGAGAGAGAGAGATAAGAGAGAGAGAAGAGAGAGAGAGAGTGGGATAATGAGTGGGAGAGAATGAGATGAGGGAGAGAGAAAGAGATGAGGGAGAGAGAAGAGAGAGAGAGAGAGTGGGATAATGAGTGGGAGAGAATGAGATGAGGGAGAGAGAAAGAGATGAGGGAGAGAGAAGAGAGAGAGAGAGTGGGATAATGAGTGAGAGAGAATGAGATGAGGGAGAGAGAAAGAGATGAGGGAGAGAGAAGAGAGAGAGAGAGAGTGGGATAATGAGTGGGAGAGAATAAGATGAGGGAGAGAGAGAGAGATGAGGGAGAGAGAAGAGAGAGAGAGAGAGAGAGTGGGATAATGAGTGGGAGAGAATGAGATGAGGGAGAGAGAAAGAGATGAGGGAGAGAGAAGAGAGAGAGAGAGAGAGTGGGATAATGAGTGGGAGAGAATGAGATGAGGGAGAGAGAAAGAGATGAGGGAGAGAGAAGAGAGAGAGAGAGAGAGAGTGGGATAATGAGTGAGAGAGCATGAGATGAGGGAGAGAGAAAGAGATGAGGGAGAGAGAAGAGAGAGAGAGAGTGGGATAATGAGTGAGAGAGAATGAGATGAGGGAGAGAGAAAGAGATAAGAGAGAGAGAAGAGAGAGAGAGAGTGGGATAATGAGTGGGAGAGAATGAGATGAGGGAGAGAGAAAGAGATAAGAGAGAGAGAAGAGAGAGAGAGAGTGGGATAATGAGTGGGAGAGAATGAGATGAGGGAGAGAGAAAGAGATAAGAGAGAGAGAAGAGAGAGAGAGAGTGGGATAATGAGTGGGAGAGAATGAGATGAGGGAGAGAGAGAGAGATAAGAGAGAGAGAGAAGAGAGCTAGGTGATTGGGGATAAAGGAGAGAGGAGGAAGGGAGTGAGATACAGATATTTTTTTCTTCTATCTATCCTCTTTCGAGGGAATTTATTCACTCATATTGTAAAATAACAACTATTTACAACAGTGTTTATATACAGAATTCATATCATATATACCGGGTGAGTCAAAATAAAGTTTACACTCAGAAAATTGTAATTTATTTTAAAAGTCAGCTATGAATGAAAGATTATCATACATGTTTTGAACGAGTGTTATGTCCCGAATCGTTTGGTATCATTTTTGTGTGGTGTGTTCACGTTTGGATGAACAGGAGACATTGTTTGCGAGAGTGAAAGAATCGACTTGCGCAAAAGTATCAAAGGAAGAGAATGAATTGAATGTATCATTATGAGATGCATTGCAATATGCTTTTTTCAGAAGCAAAGTCACACACACACACAAACACACACAAGGAACACACACACAAAGCACATTTAGATGCAGACTGACAGAGCCTTTTGGGAGAAACAATTCATTGTGATGCACCAGATATTATGGCATTATGATTGAATTTATATTCCGTTTTGATATTAAACGGAAAATTTGCGATTTTACAGAAATGTTCATTACGTAATAATGACTTGGCTGCGTGTATTTTTCATTTATCTGAGTGTGCGAGTGCGCGGAAGTGTGTTTGTGTGTGTTTGTGTGTTTGTGTGTATGTGCGTGACTGACTGGGTTTGACTCTGTGTGTGGTTTTTTTATATGTATGGCTCGATTAGTTTTCTTAGGGATGTTTTTAGGATCTGTAAAGAGCGAATTAATACCCAATCCCAATTGTTTTGATAAAACATATCGGCATCACTTTGGCGCAAGTCGATTTTTGCACTCTCTTAAACAATGTCTCCTGTTCATCCAAGCGTGAGCACATGCCACACAAAATAATACCAAAAGATTTGGGATAAAACTCTTTTTCATAAGATGTATAATACTGTTTATAAATGATTTTTAAAATAATTAGGAATTTTGCTAGGTGTATACTTTTTTTTATTTGACTCACTTTGTAGTACAAAAATGAAACTAATGTGACATAATCAATAACTAAAATAATGAAATATTTTAGTTACTTCCTTTGTATCGAATTTGTTATGATTTCATTCCATATTGAGATAGGTGCGAATTTCTACCTTTAATTGTATTATCAAATACATCATGTATCCTGTGCTTTTCACTTCCAAAAATTCTCTAATATAGTTTCTATAGATAACAAATTGAGCGAGGTTTAATATAAGATTTACAAGATTTATTTCACTTTTCTCTATTTCATGACCTATTAAATGAATTTTTTCGTTTATAAAGATTTTAAAATTAAACGAAGTATCCATTAATTTGAATACAAGCTTCCAAAAAAGCGAAACCTTGTGACAAACCAGGAAAAGGTGGTCAATTTTATGTGGGATCTGTGTATCTGTGAACTATTTACATATTGTATCCTATTACGTAACTTCTGCAACCAAAAATCGGAAATACACTATTTAGCTTTGCCAATTCGAAGGCAGAAAGTAATTCATTTTCTTGAAAATAATATAAATGGAATAACCTTCTTTCCAAATACTGTTTACTAAGACTTGTAACACTCTTAGTATATTATTTCTTATCCAGTTTGGAAATGCAATATTTTTAATATCGCTATTATACCAAATCATTTCAATTTCGATATCTTTACTTTAAACATATAAATGTATTTCAATTTACCTCAGAAACAAAACATGTCAACATAAAAATTAGGCCACTTTTTTTCCTACAAATACGATACTGTGGCTGCAGCGAGGTCGATATCAAATAAACAAGTCTGAACAAAGGCTTCTACGGGAATTTGTAGCCTTTAATGATTTGAGTAACCATTTCATCCGTTTCATTCCGTGAAAACTGTGGATAAATCACAGATAAAGAATCGTAAATACAAGTACATCATAGCATCATCAATACAGCAATAACACAGTCTCTTTGAGAAACTCATGAAATAATGTAAATTGTGTCATGATCTTTATAACCTATTCAAATTTCCCAGTCACTATTCTAGTCCATCTGCATTATGGCTTTACATAAATACAAACTCGCATTACTAGTGTCTCAACTAGACTTCATTATAATAGCTTGGTTGAACAATTAACTAGACAATAATAAATTCCAAATCTCTACTTAGTGCTTCAGCACTCTCATAATATATCTTCAAAGTATTTAGCTGTATCTTTACTGTTATCTTTGTTCTTGATACAAGGTAAAATGTACATACATCATATTAAACCAGCATAGGCTTGTATTTCTTACATTACATTACATACTGCAAACATCAACATCTCTCAGTATGAAGTTCAAAACATACACACTAAATTCCACTTTATGTTTTTTGAAAATTCATAGAAATACATTAAATATATAACAAAACTAACCTCTTTGCCCGACTTAATGACAACATTATGACTTAAATCTCCTTGATGCACTGGCAAAAAGGGGATTCTTGAACCTCAGCAAAACCATGTTCATGCATGTAGCCTTCTGAGTGTTTAATATCAAGTGAATATCAATAGATGGCGCTATACTAGGCACCTTGCCTGAGGAAGTGCTATTACAAATACATATGTATTCATGTCATGCATCAATAGTACAAGAAACAAAAGACTTAGGTGATAAAGTAATTTCAAATGCCACTGTCACAACAAAACAATACGCTCTTTTTGTAATTCAAATGTGAACAAAGAGGCAAACACTCAATTTTCTTGATCCAATATTTAAACAAAATTTTCCAAGCACTTTGTTCACCTCTTAAATACTTAAACATCCATGATAGACGGAGTAAACGACATGATAAACAGAGATAAAGAGAGAGAGAGAGAGCGAGAGAGAGAGAAGGAAAGAGAGAAGAGTGAGAGAGAAGGAAAGAGAGAGAGAGAGAGAAAGATAAGGAAAGAGAGAAGAGAGAGAGAAGCCTTGGGAAAGAGAGAGAGAGAGAGTGAGAGAAGGAAAGAGAGTGAGAGAGAGGGAGAGAGAGAGAGAGAGAGATATCTCGATCTTCAGAACAAATGAACTACATGCATCAAATTACTATTTCAGGCTGGTCTGAATATTCCGAGGTTGGGAGGGATAATAACAGATTCGGCACCCCATCTTGGAAAAAAAAACCCTGAAAAGTCTGGGCGTCTCCTTGCATTTATTTATTCATCACAGCTTATTACACGACTTAACTCTTTAAATGCCACACAATTAATCCCCTGCTTCACGTATTATTCATCATGAAATAGATAAATCAAAGGCTTCATGAATATTTAACAGTTCCAGTGCAACATTAATCTGTACCAGTATTAAAATGGTTGTCACGGAGCTAATCAAGACCAGAAATTAGTAATTTTACAAAGCGCCGGATTGTGTTGCACAAAGCAATGCTTCCGTCAATAATTGGTTTGTGCAAAATTGCACGTGTGACAAACGGGTGAATGGCATAAAGGTGAAGAAAGCAAGCAAAGGCTGAACTATCTATCATGCATTTTTCCATGCGTTACTTGGGCAAAAGGGTGACCGACGTGTTTTAAAGAAATCATACTGAATTTTTCGACAATGGTGCTGGCGGGTAATAGACCTTAACACTGAATAATATATATTCTTACACAAGCTTACAACAAAATATTTGTCCTGCCTTCGGCACAAGATTTTGAATAAATCTATATAATCTACACGTTTAACCAATCTGTACAAAACATATTTATAACCTGACGATAAGAAATGTTACACAGCTTGAAGTGAAAAACAGATAAAAAAGATTATTGTACACAAATATTGAATCAGTGAAAAGTGGCATTTTTGCATCGTAAATGACATTCACTTTGACGAAATTAGACGTAAATTTACCCTTTCATCCCTTAATTTACAAACTAGAAGTGATATTGTAGTTACTCGCCTCATGATCACCTACCATCCCAGTATAGCTTCCTGAGTGAGCTGCCAAAGGGATTACCTAACCAAGTACCAGGATTTAAAAACCACATAAGATATTTACTGTTTCTATAACATTTTGAAAGTAGCTGTTTAAGTTTCGTTATAATTCTTGCAACAATTGAAATAGTGTACTACCGTAGTATGAGCACATAGTAAGGAAGTATGAGCACCTTGATAAATATTACCAACTCTGTGTATTGCATAACATGTTCATTATTGTTGATCCAGCATGTATCAATGCTGGCACCATACACAAGCCTCTGCCTCGCTAGGGCTGTCTCTATATTTCTTCGTAAGTGTCTCTCGGATCTGATGTTATGGGTTCTAGATAGGTATCGTCGGTGTTGGGTTTCTTTAGATCTTGATACGTATGGGGGTCGGTAAGATTCTGGTAGTTTGGGGTATCTGTATTAAGATCTTGGTAGACATGGGTATCAGCATTCGGGTCTTCGTAGGTATTGCGGTCTTGCTTTGAGTCATCAAATACAGGGTTCTTATACTTTGATGAGGTCTCACGTGCATTGTTTGGTGGGGACGCGGCTGGTTCAGTCTCTAAACGTCTTTGCTTGATCCTGGAAGTGAAATTCAATAATAAAAACGCATTAAGTTCCTCCTTCTTTGTAATACCATTGAGATTCAGGTACACACGCACACGCGCACGCGCACGCACACTCACACACACACACGCGCGCACAGACATACGCGCGCGCACACACACACACACCCACACGCACACAAAGTTTAGATAGAAGTGAGGTGGGAATGGTCCCTGATGAGCATAACAGCTCACTGCGTATGATTGCGGATGTCCCTTATAACATTTGAAACAAAATCATTATAAACCATTCATTGTATGAATATACTGTATTTTAAGGGCCTTTAGAATAGGATAATCCTGCAATCGCTTTATCAATTATCGTTTTGGCTCCCTTTAGATAAATAAATTCATATCTATATTTGTAAAAATGTTACCATATAGTGGCATGGACTTCACTTTTAATTGTTCTACTGTAGTTGAGTTAACTTACCTTCTATACATCACCAAAGTAATTAGTAGTATTGCGATGAGAACGATGGGTACTATCACACCCCCTATCACAGCACTTAGCGGTTTCCTGGAACCATTATCATCACCTTTAGCACAAACAAAAATCACATACATGTAATTATGCTGTAATGAGCTATACATTTTGTTGGTCCGTTTTACAAAGTTTTTGTTGATTTTATTTATTCATTTATTTATTCATGTCTATTTTAGCGAGCAGTATAGACCATTCAGTTAAAAAAATACTTTACAATGACGCCCTGCTGCAACATACAAATACACAACCCCCCCCCCCCCCCCCCCAAAAAAAAAAAAAAACAAAAACAAACAAAAAAAAAAAAAAAAAAAAAAAAAGAAGTCTAACTTTTATAGCCAAAAGCACTGACCTCTGTTTATCCGGGTGTATATGCATGCCATTAATTTCAAACCATTTAACAATAAGATCATAATCATCTTGTAAATTAATCTTAACTTGAGTAAAATTAACATCATTATTAAATATAAATGTATCATCTGCATAAACATATCTTTTTGAGTGTGAATGCAGATTCAAATTACACGCATCATTAAATAAATAAGCAAACAATGAGAGGGGCGAGGAATGATTTATGCGGTACCCAAGTTTGAACATGTAAATATTCGATATTGCAGCCTTTAACGACAACACAATAATTTATTGCATTTTACCCCGGTCCCCAACATAACAAAATCCTCTGTACGGCCATGCATTATGGCTCAAAGCATGGGCACACAAAAGATTTTTTCTGTTGGGGACCGGGGGGGAATTCAATGAATTATTGATAATTTATTGCACTTTTTTGTGGGAACTGCCCCCTACCCTTCCCCGCACTGCGTACATTCATGGTACAGTGGCAAAGCAATGGCCTCGTAACAGTGAGGCCCCCATGATCAAAACCGTGTCGACTATATAAGTGCCCTTTTGTGGGCATTAATCCTCATTACTGTCATTTTTTTTACTTAAGGGCATTTTCTAGATCTATTAGGAAAAAGTCATTGTCAAAATAATTCCATTAAATGGGGTAAAAAAAAAATATTCCAACTTTATGAGCAACAGTGTAGATTATATTTACTTCCATAAATGACAACTTTTCTTGTCGTTTCATAAAGTTTCACAAAAACTTGTAAACAAAGAAATGTTTTAGAAAAATGTATACATTCCATTTCTCCTTATACTAAACTATACCAAATTAATGCAGACTATTTAACTTTCTCAGCCAATCAAACAGAAATAAGGCGTAATATTAGGATGAATATGTAAACAACGCTGATAAGCTACAAACTTATAAACATATTTATGAAGGTCACAAACTGACTTTAGTTTGACATGTAGCTAGTATATATTTGATAATAAAAATAATACATGAGATTTTTAAGGCGCGTTATTCTCTTGAAATCAAATGCTGAAGGCACACTTGTATGAAAAAGGAAAAATAAATCGCGCAAAAAGCAAACGTATTTGGAACAAAAGAACAGGAGTAATATAAAAAATACGAAAATAAAGGAACAATTAATTAAATGCTGAAAGCATTTTACTTCTACATCCTTTAAAATCTCACATTACCTACGATGTTTTCAAGTATAACATTCAGGGTAGTAAAAGTTTCATTTGTTGCATGCTCTTACCTGAGAGGATGGTCTTTGCATTCACTGATACGGACCAATTACTAAAACCAGCTCCATTGAGAGTTTGGACCTGACAAACATGGAAATAAGAATATGGAGTTGTAGTAATATTGACAATACAAACATCGTCCACACACAAAAGAATTGTTTAAAGCTAGTAAGGGGAGCCTTCCAAAGTTGCGACTGTGCCCGGACGCGTCGGGGCGCGATGAATAGAACAGTCGCGTCCCAAGAGACGCATTGAGGCGCAAAGGGGCGCGAAGGGGCGCAATAGTCACCCTCACCTGATTCTTGCATATGAAAAGAAACCGTCTATTGTTAGTATAAACCCGCTCTATTCTTCTTGCGCCCTTTTGCGCCCCACCAGGCAATGGAAGATTATCTCTCCCGTCATTGTTCTCGCTCGTGATGCGCGGTACAGCTTAAACTTGATATACAGAAAGTATTTGTCGGCCAAAGCCTGACTTCCCCTCCTCCGGTTTTCGTTCTGATAAACTTTCCATTGTTTGTACAAAAATGATGTATTCTTCTCGCGTCGCGATCTATTCTTCTCGCGCCGTTTTGCGTCGTAACGGGCGGGGTATTACCTTTCCAATCATTGTGGCGAAGCTTTGCGATGTACATTACTACAGCACAGCATGAACTTCTCTGGTGGGATCGTCTTTTTTTTATTTTGGGGGGGGGGGGCAATCAACACACTCGTTCATCTTGATCAGAATACTTTATGATTTATTTTTGTTGGGTTTAATACGCCTCCTTTTAATTTTTGTGACGACTGTATGAAATGTGAAATAAAGATGACTATGTACGATTAATGGTTGTTTAATTGCGAGCTTAATTGTCCCCAACAACAAAAAATAAAAGACGAATGATGTGAATGACCACATGTATGCGGTTATAGTCGGCAAATTGATTACTGTTTGGGTCGCTTGTGTATGTTTGTAATTTGAATGATTATCAACATATTTGTATAATTCCCACATCGCGATATGATTCTAGCGTCGTATAATGGACAAAGGAATTATCTTTCTCTCCCGTCAATACGCGTTGCACATCGCCACAGCCTGAGCTTGGAAGAATTTATATTTTGTCAGTCAAATCCTTTTTTTTTCTCCTCCCATGACTTGGTTCTAATAAATTAAAGGTTTGCTTATTAGGGATAAGAAGGATAACATCAAACAAACGATTTACTCAAGATGACGCTCTTTTCATTTCACCTCGCTGTTTGATAAAGTAGAGTTTTACGGAGCGAATACAAAAGAAAAGTTCGCTCTAAGGCCAAATAAAAAAATGATTTATTAGTGTCCTGTTTTTTCGAAAACTAGGAAGGAGGAGGCCCTCTCTTTTCTTTTTTTTTTTCTTTCAAAATGGCCGCTCAAAATGGCCGCTCGGTACATTTTCCCTGACAGTCGGGCTATTTTTCAAGATGGCCGCCGAAATCTTTTAACTTTTAAAAAAAATCAGTAATAGATCCATTTTAGTATTGTTTTTCATGTGTTTTTTTTTCAATTTTTTTAATTTTTTTTTAAATTAAATAAAAAAAAAAAATTAAAACAAATTTCCCCAAAAATAAAAAAAATAGGAGGCGGCCCCCAAAAAGGAAGCAGGCGGGGACGCTAAACATGTATATTTTGTTAAGTGGCCTCAGGGAAAAAAAAACATAAAATGCCATGGCAGGATTTCACGCCCGAGATTTGCCTTCGAAAATTGCCCGTCCAAAAGGCGTTTTAAATCATAATAATTCCATAGCTCTTTTTAAAAGTGCAATAAATAGAAAAAAGAGTCCGGGAACTATATCGAGATTATAAAACACGTGTGTCATGAAGATGTAAACAAAAAAGCGTAGCCTGGTGGTGATAAAGTTGAGCAGCAATTGGAAATGCAATACAAAACATTAATCAGTTCATGATGATAATTAATCATTCGACACAAATGCAAACATTGATTTCTGCTCTAACATTCGAATCATTTATTCGTAGATTTGTATAATTAAGTGGCGAAAGTGAAATTTTGAAATCTTAATGCACAGATACAAAAAACATACCAAATATGTTTTGATTCTTATTCTAAAAAAAAAAAAACGGCAAATTTTAAAAGATCTTTTTAAAAGGAGGGAGGCGCTATAGCCCAGTGGTAGAGCAGAGCAGCTCGTAACCGGGAGCTCCCTGGTTAGAAACCAAATCGATATGCTATTGTAAGGCATATCTCAACATTACATTACGTTCGGAGAGGATCTTAAACCCGCCGGTCCCCTGTTTGCCTAATTCAGAGCATACACATGCTTCATATAGCAGTCAGGAAAAAAAAGCGAACGGTACAGGAAGCTACCTTTTATGGATAGGCCTAAATTGAAGGTTTGGCTTAACTAGGGAGAAGAAGGATAACATCAAACAATAGATCTACTCATGATGACGCTCTTTTCATTTCACCTCGCTGTAAGATAAAGTAGAGTTCTATGGAGCGAATACAAAAGAAAAGTTCGCTCTAAAGGTAAAAACATAGAATGCCGTGGCAGGATTTCACGCGGCCGAGCAAGACTATTGTTTGATCGCTATAATTGTCCGACTTGCTATAGATTCTTGTTTAGCTACACAGTAAGGTTGCTCGCTAGTTATAAGGACCGCTATTCATTGGACAACTATTCATGAAGACCGCTATTCGTAATTTGAGAACATGGTCATTATGTATAAGGGTCATGAATTCGTAATACGACATCCCCCTCCCCAAAACTAAATAAATAAATAGAAAACATGAATAGATTAATAAACTTAACTAATGGTAATTGGGAATAGCCGCCTATGAGCGCAACAACTATTAGCTGCTCAAAGAGCTGTCTTTTGTCATTGCGTTGCAAAAATAAAGTGCTTTTAAAAGTTACATGTACTATAATATCCGTATGTTATATAACACCCAATGTGAACATGACGTGTTCAGGCCTTATAACTATATACAGTGCACGTTAAAACAAAAGACTTTACTAGCGCTAGCTAACAAATATGCAACGTCAAAACGTTCACGAACATTGAAGATAACAAATTGTTAAAGGTGAAATTCAAAGAAAATCACAAATATGTCAACTAATGTATCACTAGAAACTGGTAAGCTAACAGATGGCCATCGTACAAGTTTGAGGTCAGCTACATATCGGGTGATTTATAAAAATAAAAATACAACCACCTCCATAGCAGCTGGGATATACGAGAGATTCGCCAGAAAAATAACGATGTTTTAATGACGTCACAACAGGGACCAATACTGCCCAAGCAGACGACATCCCATAGGGAATGAACATAATTGCAAAGCTATTATTTGTCAAATTATAATGAGTTTAGTGTATATAAATGTACTGGCACGTCAAACGGATCAAAAGGGGACATGACCCGATTCTGATAACTAAAATCTTTTGCTTGTAAATACACAGGATAGGGGTTAATTAACAATCAAAGAAACCAGACTTTCAAATTGAAAAGCCCCCGGATTGATATTAAGGGCGGCATTTGTTCCCTCTTAAAACGCCGAACATACCGCGGTGTCTGCAGCTGAATATACAATGGCGTCTTATTTTGTTTACAAGCGACAGATTCCTTTATTTTTGTATCGCTGCATTTGTCATCAAAATAAAACCATGCGCGGGGTTTAGAGTGAGGCAATAGATTACACATTTAGCCTGACGGTAGTGAAGTAAGAGAAAGAACTCAAGAGAAGATGAAAACACAGGCACTGAAAATGTGTGAGATGTCATGGGACATCGTCTGCTTGTGCAAAAACATGTCCCTGCTGTGATCTCACACATCTCAGCAGCCTTCGGAGAGCTATTCAGGTGCTATGCCGGGGCTGTATTTAAGCGTTTTGTAATTTATAATAATCATTACTTCGAATGTTTCCAAGCATTGAATTTTGATAACCTTGTCGAATCAAAGTTTCAACTTTGCAATAAAGAAAATAAAGCTAGATTTAAAATCAATGAATATCTACTTTAAGACAAATGACACCACCAATAAAGTTTCTTCGCGAAGAAATATTCGATCGAATTTCATGTTTGGAACAGATAGGCGATTTCGAATTGTTCCATCTACCGAAACGTTTTGATGATGCAGGCTCCCGACAATACGACTATCATTTTTGTAATATCTTTAATTTGCAGATGTTTGTTTGTTTTGTATGACATATTTATAAACGCCCTATAATCTTATTTCAAGCAGAATCTTTCAATCTCTTTGATTATAAGTATCATTTTTTAAATCACGGGTATTTAAATACAATAGCTGATTTTGCGAAGATTTAGAGAACCTCCGTTTCTATTCTTTAAATCGATCTTGCATGAGAAAGAACAGAGTGATGATATAGATATATGACCTATTTTGATCGGATGACAGAACAAAATAAATGTAATATGAACCAAATAATGTGTCAAAACATACAGAAGGAATACAATTATACATATCGTTTTTGTTTTGTTCGTGAAGAAATTAATGTAATACAAGTATTGAACACATTAATGAACAGAAATGAACAATCATAACAACGTCAACGCCTACACAACTTCGATGTTTGGGAGGAATATAACAATCAGAACAACAATCTAAATCAATGTCTTGTACGTAAAATAATAATAAAACATATCAGTAGCCAACGTGAAAATTTTAGAGTCAAATCTTTCAAGACGAGAGCGGACACACACGCGAGGATTACATGAATAACTAATGCGTAGGAATGGGCGCGAAAGCTTTTCAAATTCACAAATTCACAATTCACAAAAAGCGCTTCGCCTTTAAGCGCACCCCCCCCCCCCCCACCCCCGAATGAGTGTTATGTAGGGTACGCATATGCATTTTCCCTCCTTTTGAAAACAGTCCCCTAAGTCCGGTGTGTAAAGTCAATACGGGCCGGATTTGTGTGTACTAGACGAGCCGGACTTTTGGTGCGTGAAAAGTACCCCTTTACCAGACAGTAACAATGAGTCTCCAAACAATAGCCAGATTTGATATTCATATTGTGAGCATGTGCTTAGTTATATCGGGATTCCCTTGTTATATTGAAGACGTGGGCTAATATCTGTTTGCCCAGTATTTCTCGCTGATTGTTTGACCAACATTAAATTGCTATTGTCCAGCTGACTTTTCTAAAGGCTTTTCTACCCTCGGCGCTAAAGGGATTGCGGAAAATTTCAACACTATTTGTGTTTCTTGATGACCCAGTAGAAGAAGAATAAGGGCTCCCTGCCCCCCCCCCCCCCCCCCGAAAAAAAATGTCCCAAAACAACGCAATCATTATTAATTCCGTTTACTACTTGATACCAACACGTGCATGATGGATCCCCCGGATGGATCCTTATTTAGACGGTGAGACAGTTCTGTTACGAGAAGCAATTCAACGAATTGCCATGGCTTGTATTTGTTCTAGAACGCACTACGCTCTTTCGATAACACGTGGCCCCTATTCAGCACAATATATATGTATTTTAGTTATTCTTAACAATGACCTAGATCTAAAACTGGCCGCGGATGTAACCCCCCCCCCCCCCCTTCGTCGCAAAGAAATATTCGATAAAATTCTTTGATACGGGCACAGTGTATTTAAATTTGTTCGTAACATTAGTGTTTTGCAAAGAAAGAACATTCTGAAAATGAGCGTCTTCCTTCTAACGAAACATATTGATGATGTTCCCGACAATACGGATATCATTTGCATTAAAAAAACATCGTAATACAGATAAAACGCTTTTTAAATCCAATTCATGGAGAAACTACGACATTCTGGATTAAGTATCATTTTCAACATCACGGATTTAAAAATACGTTCTCTAATTTTAAGAAGATTCAAAGGATCTATGAAATAACAGACTGATGATATAATTATATGATTTATAATGATCATACGACAGAACTGTTTACAAGATGCAACAAAAATTGTTTTAAAAAAAACAAGAAAATCGAAACATGCGATAACATCGCTATAAGGAAATATAAAATTACAATTAAAGTGTCAAAACATGCACGAGGAAAACAATGTCAGAGAGAGTGGGGTAAGTATAAAATAAATTTGTTTTTTTCGTGAACAAATCAATTTGTATTAAAATTGATACAGTATATTGAACACAATCATGAACAGAAAAGGAGGAGATGAAAACAATGAACAATCATGCCAACGTTAACGCCTACAGAACTCCGATTTTGAGAGGAAAATAAACAATCAGAACAAACATTGTAACCAATGTCATGTATGTAAAATAATATTAAAACAAATCAGTAGCCAAAGTAATGCTTTTCAGAGTCAAATCTCGCAAGACGAGAGCGACAAACAAGCGGGCACTACATGAATAACTAATGCGCCGGACCGGGCGCGAAAGGGCGCGAAAGCTATTCAAAGTTTAAGCTCCCATTCACAAATGTCAAGTGCTTCACCGGGGCGCGCCCCGGCGGGGTAATTTCGTAACAATGAGACTCCAAACAATAGCCAGATTTTAATGAGCTGGCAACCAACTGAAGTCCTCTCCTATCCGACGCAAAAAGGCGCTAATGGGCGCATAAAGGCGCCTCCTTTGTTCTCATATCCTGCTCTGCGCCCCGACGCGTCGCGGCACAGTCGCAACTTTGGAAGGCTCCCCTAAGTCATGGCTGCACTTAATCATGAGATATTCTAGTCCGCGAGAAAATACAATCTACAATCATCATAAGCGTTCTCATACGAAAGTTAATTTTTAGATGCCTTTAAAGCATTCAAATGTAATTCATTTTAATGCAGTATCATGCATGTAATCGGTGATTGCTTGCTACATAAATGGCACAATTAAAAAAAGAGAATCACTTTGTAATTTCATCCCAAAGTATATAGTTTCTCTAAAAGCGCTTATGATAACAGCTCAAACTAAAATGTTCTTAAAGGTAAAGACCAGTATTGGAAACGCCCCAATTTCAAAAAATGAAATGGAAGCTCTTATTACCAATCATGTGAAAGAATATGTTTTGAATATTACATGACGATACAAATTTTGACGGGAAAACGCCTACTAATTGATATATTTGGTAAATTAGTATATCTCTTGCCTGTTGAGAGATACAAATGCACGTGTCGCGCACGTGTGTGTAGTCCCATATACATCTTTCTGTGTACAGTGCTTCTAACTTTATGAAGACTTGGCCAAATTTCTTATAATTTTGATGATTCCAGAACCTTGCAGAACATCTATGCTAGATGATCAACCTTTTCTGATCGATTTCACAACGTTTCTTTCACTATGCAATTGCATGACCACAACTGGTCTTTAGCTTAAATAGGGAAAGCTTGTACTAAAATATGAAGAGAATGAATATTCCCTTAAACGTTGGGTCCTAAGGATTGATGTCGAGACATCTATACCTGAACTGTATAATTGATTTCACTGGCCAGGTCCATCACAGTATGTTCCACATCAAATGCACCAGTCATTACTTCCTCCATCTTATAATTGCCATCACCAGCTAGATCAGTTCGCTTGTAGCGGATGATATATTTCTGGATGTTACCATTGATGTTAGATGGTAGAGGGGTAGACCAGGATAGAGTGAAGGAACTTGTAGTACTCTGCAGTATAGTCACATTGATAGGAGCAGGCGCGACTGATTAGAAGAAAATGGTTTATAACAATGTCATGCTGAAATATGGTAGACTTATGTATTGATATTCCGGAATATCAATTACTTTTGTTACTCTCGTTTTAATAGATAAGTACAATGTCTAATTCCAGAAGAAAAAAAAATATTTCAATTGCAATTAAAGCGACTGTGTATAAAATTACATTGGGGTTTGAATCACAATGAAAATGTAATGACATAAAGGAAATAGTAATCTAATGCATCAAAGAGTCATGTATATGATTTATATTGTGCAGGCAAAGTAATTTAGTATACAAACACTGCTAAAGATATATTTACAGATTTCATTACTCCCGATATCCTCTGATATCTCACGTGCTGGCCCGTACTCCACTAACATTTAACCCGACGCTGGAATTAAACATACTCAGAAATTGAGTTTAACAAAGAAGTTATACCGAGGTCTGATTCTAACAAACTGTAGTCCTCGAGTTAAGTTTAATGAATTAGCAGTATACGAACCATACAGTTTGCAATTTAGCAGAATGAATGATTCTCTCTCTATCAAGATCAATTAAATTTGTAGATGAAACTGGTAGTAACGAACCAAAAGGAGTATTAACCGAAAAAAAAAACCATGTTGGACGAAGGTTGTAACAAAAATATCTACAAGAATATTAACTGTTTCACTTAAAAAGCAAAGCAATAACTCCCTTACCCTCACGAAAAAATACATCCTAAGATTAACACCAACCTTCTTCAAGTGTTTTGCTCATAGTCTCACTGCTTTTGTCACCCTCCTCGTCTTTATTTAATGCAGTCAATTGAATGGTATAGTCCAGATAGGTGTCTAACCCTCTTATCGTGTAGGAGCTAGTGTCACGAAAAACTAGGATAGAGTTTGAAGAAGTTGAACCAGGGGGAGCGTAGTAGATAATATAATGGGTCACTCCACTCCTGCATTCTGCTGATTCCGACGGGAGGTGCTGAAACATTAAAAAGCAAATTCATGTTACATGCAGCACAACCACATACAAGAATTTACTTTCACACTAATAAACAAAACTATGAGTCGTTATCTTTTTTTTTTTAATCTACAGTTTTCGCATTAAAGGGAGCTGCTATATGGTCCTGCTAAACAAGATTCTCTTGATTACAAAACATTTTTTTATATTTGCTTCCTTCTGTAAAATAAAATAAAAACTCAATTTCATAAGCCCAACAGCTCTTACTTGCAACTAGCAAACAAAACAAATTGGTGCTATTTAGATGTTTTATATTTTTTTTTACACAAGATCTATTTAATTTAGTCAACTGTTGAGGTACGTAAAGAAACATTCACAAATAGTTAGTGGCGGCGAGGAGTTCTTATTTGACATATCTTGACGAAAAAATAGGTACAATTAAATCTTAATAAGGTTGTAAGTGTCTTTGCCAGCTTCATATCACATATAACGATGCGGTTCTACCTGAATGTAATAAAAGTATGACTAGTAACAGTTATAAATTTTGTGCTCTGGACGAGTCTTTTCATCCAACTACATTTCACGAAGCGACCAAACCGCTATTCTTAAAACAGTTCATACCTCCCATGTCACCTCTAGCTCTTTAGGGTTGATGGCTGAAACTTGTAGTCCAGTTGGAGAAGCACTGGGTTCTGAAGGTTTAAAGTATACACAAGATACTAAATGGCTTGGACCTATAGTAGATGAATACATCACATGGTCATGCAAGTCATAGTAAAATCATGCACTGCTTCTACAGGTACACTTCATGTAGTTTTAGATTAAAAGTCGAACATGAAACTACCGTTGCGCCAAACACAATGAAGGGTATAATAAACAAATTTTATAGGGAAACGTATGTTTTGCCTTTGTAGAAGAAATTTTTGGTGTCACAATTTAGAAAGATAAAAAGAATTAAAGATAGAATGTATGGAACCTTTAAAATACAAACATTTCTTTGTACAGACTTTACTAAAAAAAAAACTAAATAAATCAAACATTTCAATGGAAAGTGCATTCAATCAATGAAAAGTGCATTAATATCCCTAATGTACATCAAAATGTACAAATCAATTACTAAAACGCAAAAACAATGTACCTGTAACCAAATGTATAACTCCAATACACTCAATTATTTTCTTCTGAGCATAACTTACTTCTACAGAGAGTTATTGTGTCGCTCCTAGGAGACTCGGGTCCTGTTCCACCTGTTCCTTCCCTCACTGCTGCTACACAAAACCTGTAATCTGTGTCGGGTGTCAGGTTACTAACGATGGCTGATGTTGTTAGTTGATCTACTCTCTGATCTGTTACCCAGTCACCATCCTTCTTTACAAAGACATCATATCCTACCAGAGGAGGATCACCTACGTCATCTTCTTCAGACCATTCATTCCATCGAAGACCAACTGTAGTTGACGTGGTGCTCAATATCACTGGTGCTTTCTCAATGACTGGCAGAACTGAACAAAAACAAACAGAGACAGTAATACTTAATATAATAATTTATTAAAATACCATCAAAATCAATGACACGCCTATAATAGAAGTTCTTCCACCAAGTCAATATGTATATAAATTTCACCAAAGTACACAGGAGTACTATACTGACATCTTACAGAGCTGCTACCATATGATGCAGAGAATGTGCATACGTTGTTTGAGCGAGCCTGAATCGAATGACAAGGTTCACAAAACATTGTAAAGCACTTACAGACATCGTAGGTGTATCAAGTGCTACATAAGCCCAGAATATCAAATTTTAAAAATATAAAGTTCATTGATTAATTCACATGTAGGGCTTATGTATGGGTCAATGTACAGATGGCGACTTGCATGTAGAAACAACTTTATCAATATAGGAACATACATTCCATGTTAAAAGGTTACTAAATTACAAATTCATGTTGACTTTTGTTGATCTGTAATTATATAATGTATACATCACATATATTTTGTCTTTTTAATGTAAGTTTATATGTCATATATTTTATATTATTTTTTCTATTACTTTTGTTCTACCTGCTAAGCTCCACCCCTAAAAGAAACCCTCCAAAAACAATCATTTGTGACATCATCATGTCAGTCATTCATCAGTGAGCTAGAGGGACAAAAGACATTGGTATGTCCCTTCCCATCAACTGAACACCTGTTCACAAAAGCATTGCATGTTTTTTATACAATGCTTACTCACACAATTCAATTACATTTTAGGCAGCTGCTATGTCAGAAATACCCAAGCAACACCATGAAAAGAAAGGTTTAAATGGGCTATTATATGAAAACATGCAATGCTAATGTAACAAGTTTCACAGTGGGTGAGGAAATACCACCGTCTATTGTGAACAGGTGGTCAGTTGATGGGAAGGGACATACCAATGTCTTTTGTTCATCTAGCTGACTGATGAATGCCTGGCATAATGATCTCACAAAAGTCATCTACTTTTGGAGGTTTTTTTAGGGGTGGAGCTTAGCACTGAGGTAGAACAAAAGTAATATAAATATATTATAGTATTAATGACTGCTTTGAGAGAAATAGTTGTTTGTTATACGCTCAAGGGAAGGTTACAATTGTGCTATTGCCCGAGGCGTGCCGAGGGCAATAGCACAATTGTAACCTTCCCGAGAGCGTATAAAAACAACTATTTCTCGAATATCAAAGCAGTCATTAATACTTTTATATACCGAAGAGTCAACTAACCAATCAACTGGTAGAACTCTGTAGAAAATAACTCAACTGGTAGAAATCCGTAGAAAATAACTCTATTTGTAGAACTCTGTAGAAAATAACTCAACTGGTATAAAATAACTCTATTTGTTAAAAATTTTTACAGTACAATTGTGAAAATGATATGTGGGGGCTTGCACCTGCTGACTAGGAGAAACATGGGCATGGCTACTTGTAGTGATGTTGCATGTGCGTGGGAAGTTCTCTGGGTTATTTGTGATCTCATTGAAAATGTCATTTAGTTCCCGCAGTTCCTGGCTTTCACTACGCTGACCACCAGTAGATGTTGTTGATGACGATGGTACTGATTTCGGATCAACAGCTGCCGCGATACCATGACCTATGTTTGATGACGATGGTACTGATTTCGGATCAACGGCTGCCGCGATAGCATGACTCATGTTTTCTTTGGCTGTACTGCTGGTCATAGCATAGTGTTTGAGACTGGTCTCCGCCTTGTGTCCGGAGACACTCATGATTTCTCTTTCTCTGAACCCAGCATTTTGTAGGGTACTGATGCTGGTTGCCCTTAGGCAATGGTGGGTGTAAGCCTTGGTACCTGCACGAGATGATATTGTTTTCATTTTGTCTCCGATGCTGTTGTTTCCCAAGGGATGCATTACAGTACCATTGATCAGAAGAAGATGGATTGGATTTGAACTCACGCTTGGCCTGTGCATTTGCCGGTCTCTGCCAAAAACTCTTACATCGTGGATCCAATTTATCTTTGTAGCGTAAGAATGAGGCAACAGGACATCGTGGACCATTAGTTGGAATCATGACACCACCTTGGCTCTTCTCTAGTTTATCTGCACGGTTGTTTTTTGTGAGTGTATCTTTCAGAGTTATGGAGCATTTTCCCCCTTCATCACAAATGTCAAAGCTGTCAAGTGTCATTTCACGCAAATTCTCTCTACCCCGATTGCAAAAGTACAACATTACGTCCATAAATACCTTGTCCTGAAGACCCACAGGATCATCCAAATCAAGCGAACCTTGGATTTTGTCCATGTCTTCTGCTGAGATAGCTGGTTTGTGAGTTACAACTCCCTTTCCTTCCTGTTTAAGCATTGCTGAAAAACACTTAAAAACTCTCGTCGAGTTGGAAAAATCTTCATGCTTGATGATATCTATCTTATTACAGTTGAGGAAATAACGCTGAAGTCCGAATCTAATAGCTAACATTGACTTCTTCATGTAATAACTTCCGTTCTTCCGTCTGGCACCAGCGTAAAACTTTTGCAGTACATTGTCCAGCTCCGAATTTGAAAGCTTGTTTACGCTATCGAGGTCTGTGCTGATAACTTGCAGGAAGTCTTCGAATATTTTCATGGAGCATTTAACGGAATTTTTCGTGTTCTTGCTGTCAGCAGAATCAATCAAGTCTCTCATTTGATCATCATCAAGAAGCTGAAATCTTGGGAGCGTTTCTAATTCCGCCATTTTGGCCTAGTACAGTCGGTCGTCTGCGTTGGCAGCTACTAGGGAGTCGGGCTAACTCGCCCCACGGGACATCTCGCCCCAGCGAGATATCCCGACATGATTTATCGATCGAGAGATACCAGTAGTCTGCTAATTAACGGCCAGGACGAAAGAATGTGAACAAATATCAGCCATATCGTCTAAAATGTACAATGAGCACAAACATATACACATTGGTATCTCTCGATCGATGAATCGTGTCGGGACATTTCGACCCAGTCTTTGATGCTGGGGCGAGATGTCCCGTGGGGTGAGTTACAAAATTGGTAAAATATAGCGACCAATTCTTCGCACACGTACGGTATCCTGGATCGCTCAAACCATTTTTTAACATGTAAACCTATGGGGTAACCATGGAGACTAAACTATTTTCCCGGTAACCATGGTTATTGGGATTTTAGAACTGTTTTAAGCATGGTTACCGGGAATTTTACAGGAACAGTTAAAGTTTATGAATGCAATTTCGACCAATCAGATGGCTGGATTTCTTAAGTGAGGTATATAAATATATATATTGATATATATATGACATAAATGTACATCAAAAAGTAAAAAGATATGTGATGATCAACAAAAGTCAACATGAATTAATTTAGTAACTTTTAATATTAATAGATAGCAGTTTATTCAGTATGCCCCCTAGGCACTGCCATTTGTTTGTATTACTGAATGCTTCACACACATTTTGCAATATATGTCTGTTGATGTTGTTGCTGTTTTTGAGGTTGCTTTTGTTGCAGCTGTTATTGTTGTGGTAGTTGGTGGTGTAGTCGTGTTGTCATTCATGTTGTAACAGTTGTTGTTGTTGTTGTTATTTTTTATTACATGGCGAGGGAAGGCACACGTGCCTGCCTATTCCTTTGCCATGAAAGTTTTACAAAACCAGAGCCTCCAACAACATAACTGATGCAATCCCCTGTTTTGGCCCTGTAACACTGGATGAAGACAGAACGACTGAGAATAATTCTGCATCTAAAGAAAGTGAATGCATACAGGTATCTCACAGATGTACATTAGAGTAAAGCAATGTCGCGCAGTTTGCTCACCATAGGTTGCGTTGGTAATGAGCGTACTGGGATAGCCTGTATTTTCAACAGTAAGAATGCACTGGTATCCCCCATCTGCCAGTGGATACACACTATCAACATCAAAGACAACAGCTCGTTCTGACCCTGAGACAGTGCTTGATCTCATGGTGATTCCTGTCCTGTTATTGGTGTCTCCAGTACGTCTGTACAGATCAACTGAGGATGCATCGGGAAGTGGGATACCCTCAACATAACATGTGAAGCTAGATGGTTGGTATGGGTTCACTCTCACTGGAACCAATCTGGATATTCCTGTCAAGAACCAAGATGAGAAAATAAGAAAGAAGAAACTTAAATAATACACACAATTTGAAACACAGAATCTGTTTGCTTTATGTAATAATAACTAACAATACATACAGTGTATGGGGAACAAATCCTACATGCACTTTATAGGACATTGACCAATCCTGATATTCATCAATAAAGAATGGATTCGTTTGTATTAGAAAGAATGAACAATTACTTATAATATTGATATTCCTGTCAAAACAAAGCAAAAATACAAAACATTAAATACAAATGTACATGTCTGCAGCAATAGAAGATTGCAACTCGACCAGTCACTTCATTGTATCAGTATTTAGATCCAGAACTATATAGGCAAGATCTTAAAAAAAACTACCACAAATACACATGTTCATGTACATGCAGATTTACCTAAACAAGAGAAGATATCAATCTGATTATTGATTACAATATCTTAGTTGATGCAAAGTATCAGACTGGTGTACGTAATTTGATTAAACAAGTTAAATTGGAATACATACAATTGTCACCACGAGACAAATGGGAAATATGTAAAGTTAAGATAAAAGAATTTACGATGTCATACTGTAAACAAAAATATGATGTTCAAAAAGAAGCTTTTAATAAACTTAAAAAGGAATATGATACCTTGAGTAAACAGTTAGATAGGGATCCAAATGAAGATGTTATTAGTAAGATGAAGGAAGCACAGAAGAAAATAGATAAATATTATACACATAAATGTTAAGGGGCGTTTGTAAGATCGCGGTCAAAATGGATTGAAAAGGGTGAGAAGGCAAGCAAATATTTTTTACAGTTGGAAAAGCGCAATGGGCAGAAGAAAAAAAATAGAAAGTTTACATGTGAATGGAAAAACTATTAAGGATGATGAAAAGGTTTTACAGGAAATTCATAAATATTTTGAAAAAGTGTATGTTAAGGAATGCACGAATGTTCATGTTGATAATTATTTTAAAGATTTAATTATTAGTACTCTGACCGATGAAGAGGCATCGAAGTGTGAAGGGTTGCTAAGTGAAAAGGAATGTAAAGACGCATTGCAATGTATGGGTAATAACAAAGCCCCTGGAAGTGATGGTCTTAGTGCTGAGTTCTACAAGGTTTTTTGGTTAGAAATTAAAGATTTGGTTATTGCAAGCTTAAATGAGGGGTATCACAAACAAAAATTATCTTCTTCTCAAAGGCAGGGTCTTATTACGTTGTTATTTAAGAAGGGGGGTAGGGGTTATTTAGACAATTGGAGACCAATTTCGTTATTAAACAATGATTATAAAATTGCGGCAAGAGTACTGTCTAAAAGACTTCAACGTGTTTTATCAAGTATCATTTCAACTGATCAAAGAGGTTTTATGAAGAAAAGATCCGCAGCAGAAAACATACGATTAGTACAAGATGTAATCGACTATTTAAAGACATCCAATAGTTCGGGAATTATATTCTTTTTGGATTTTAAAAAAGCATTCGACAATGTACACGTTCGCTCATAAAGGTGGAATATATTTTTTTTAGCCCAATTTAGGGAATTATTTTAAAAATAATTTAAAAATAATAGATCTAGATAATAGTATACATTCTCAGATTTTATTGAATAATAATTTGCCAATGTGTGTTTTGCGTGACTGCTAAAGCATGTTTATGCTACTATGCTTATTAATTAAGGGACCTATGCCCTTAAGTCATAAATGACAGTAATGAGGATTAATGCCCCACAAAAGGGCACTAATATAGCACATCGACACGGTTTTGATCCTGGGGCCTCACAGTTACGAGGCCATTGCTTTGTCACTGAACCATGACTGTACGCAGCGGGGGCTAGGGTAGGGGGCAGTTTCCATAAATAAAAAAAAACACAGAAAATGCAATACATTTTCAATAATTTATTGCATTTTACCCTGGTCCCCAACATAAACAAATCCTCTGGAAGGCCATGCATTATGGCTCAAGGCATGGGCACACAGAATATTGTAGATAATTTTGTTCATGATAATGCCATTATATATACTGATCAACCTGTATAATATCTAGGAGTATATGTAGGCGAAAGTAAGAAATTGTTACAAGATTTAAACTGGAATGTAAAAATAGATAAAATTCGAAATGTATTAAATATGTGGAAAATGAGAGATCTTACTTTTTATGGCAGAATAATTGTTTTGAAAATGTTAGCGGCGTCACAAATTGTATATAATGCAACTGTTGTACCAGTACCAAAACATGTTTCACAGATATTGAACAGACTATTATTTCGTTTCTTATGGAACGCCAAAAAAAAAAAAATTAAACGTAATGTAATTATAAGTGATATTGAAAATGGTAGATTGAATATGATTGATATTGCTAGTAAAATATCTCCACTTCGTTTGGCATGGATATCTCGTTTTTTTTAATGATAATGGCTCTTATTGGAAAAAATATGTTTAAATACTGGTCCGACAAAATAGGGGGTTTGCCACTATGTTTACATTTCAATTGTAACATAAAGGATATGAATTTATTATGCTCTAAACATAATTTGCCAGAATTTTATGTAAATTTTTTTTGTACTTGGTCAGAACTAAAATTCATTGATATGTTTAAAGTAAGAAATATTCCACATGAAATTATTTGGAAAAATAGTAACATTACCTTTCAGAACAAAATACTGTTTTATCGAGAATGGCAAGAGGCCGGTTTATTGAAAATTCATAATTTGATTACAAATGGTATTTGGAATGATTCTACAATACTAAATACAAAAGTGAAAGCACAACAGCTCTTGTTTTTTTTTAATATACAAAATTAAAGAAAGCATTTCCACAGTGTTGGTTGGATAGATTTAGTTATATACCTCATTTTAAGATTCTTTACTAATCCTGTCTTCTGATTGGTTGAAAATGCAGTCATGTTCTTAACCATGCCCGCTAATTGAAATTCATAGTCATTTTTCCCGGCTCTACCGGTTTATATCCATTTTTCATAGCACTTTTTCCATGGCTGTGAAACGTGACGTCATTTTGCTGCGATCCCCATTTTGGTTTACGTGTTACCGTATAAGTTTCTTTTGTGCGATGACCGATGCGCAATACCGTTAACGGTGTTTGAGTGCAATTCGATTTTGGTCGCTGCATTCAGGCGACGAATCTACCAATCCACGCAGCGCAGACGACCGATCGCCATTTTGTGTACTAGTCTCGATCGCAAAATACTGGGGTTTTGGGTGAGTCAACATTTTCCTTTTTTTCGGTATATAAAATATATATTGACTGCTTTTAATATTCGAGGCATAGTTGTTTCTATAGGGTCTCGGGAAACTCACAACCTGCTATGACCCCGCGGCGCAAGCGCCTTGGGGTCATAGCAGGTTGTGAGTTTCCCTTGACCCTATAGAAACCACTATGCCTCTCAAAGCAGTCAATATATCCTTACTATGAACTTGACAAGAATGTGATATTTCGAATATGATAGAAATAGAAACAGGGGATAAAGTGAATGTTTTTGTTATGAAAGTGAAAGATTACTATCGTTTGTTATTACGTAATAAGTCAAAAGAACCAAATATCATTTATTTTTGGAATTTCTTTTTAGATTTGGATAATGACTTTGTTTGGAAGGATGTATTTTTATTTAAATTAAAGCAAATTCGTAATAATAAAGTTAAACAATTTAATTTCAAGATGATTCATAGGTTTATTGCCTCAAAAGAAAACTTATATAAATGGTAAATTGTTAATAATAATTTATGCAACTCTTGTGGACAAGTTGACTCAACGTTTCATTTTATGTTATATTGCAAGGATGTGACTATGTTTTGGAAAATAATATGTAATTTGATATTTAATATATTCCAAATAGAAATACAAATAGATAATAGTTGTAGGAAAGGATATTGGAAACAAGAAATATTCACTTCTGAATATTATTTTAAATTATGCGCAATATGCAATTTATAAATGTTACGTTAAGAAGATTGTTAATGGTTCTGTTTACTACCCACATACTTTGTTTTTTTAATTCAAGTCGTTGCTAAGATTATTTTTAAGATATGAATGTGTTAGCAAAGAAGATAATACTAAGCTGGAAGAATTGTTGAATGTACTTTAATCTTTAACCTATGTTATGTTTCACTCAATTATTGAGTTATTAATGTACAAATGTATTATTATTATGGAAATAAAAACCTCGCTTGAGGATAAGAGAAAAAAAAAAATCAATCTGATTATTTTGTTTGAAGTAAAATTGCTAAATGTATTAATGCAATACTCCTGGTATGCAAATCATACATACTTCGTGAAACGACTTTTATCAATCATGACGTCTTTCCACTTGAGAAAATATTTTTTGTATTACAGTCAAAGCTGTCCACTTCAAATCCCACTTGTGAGATTTCATGTAGCGACCAGCAACATCAGCGCTTGAGCAATTTCGTTCACTCGCTCTGCTGAAAACGGCTCGCACAGCGGCAGCTTATAAACGGTCGTTTACACACCAAAATCAACTCAACCCCAAGCTTGTATTCAAACTTCAATCAAAATATTTAATGACCGACAGGGTATGGTTTCTTGCACATTTTATTACAGGGACGAGCCAATATAGGCCATTTTCGTAATGTAACCACATTTAATGCATAAGTCATTGTGAAGTGCCTCAATACAAATTATTTCATTCACCTGATAGCTAGCTAGGAATAATAGTATCTCAATAGTCAAAATGCAACTGCATATATTAAGTGTTGCTAGGTAGGTCAAGCCATAGGCCCGAATTCACAAAGGAGGTTTGTCGACAAAACTTGGTTTTCGTGCGTCATATGACGCGTTTTGACGCGTTTTTACAAACCTGGTTTGTAAAAAACGCGTAAAAACGCGTCATACTATGACGTACGAAAACCAAGGTTTGTCGACAAACCTCCTTTGTGAATTCGGGCCATAATGTTTGCCCAACCTGGCAACAACTAATGTATGCAGTTCGGATTTTGTCTATTGGAAATGGCCTATTGAAAACATGACTATTCGGCGTCATTGTTATGAACTTCGCGATCGATGACTCGCTTGTTCGCGCACTGGCCGGCCTGCGAGAGGCCTGGTGAGCAGGCGTACATTCATTTCTTTTAAATATTTTGTTAATATGCCTTCAAATTAAAAGATCCTGGACAATCCCAAGCCCCCCCAAAAAAAAGAAAAAAAGAAAAAAAAGAGTGTAAACAGTTTTGTATTTTTATTTTGACTATTTTTAAACACCAAAAAAGAAACTTGGGTTGTTACATTTAAAAGGTGGCCATCAATTACGCCGACCTATCTAAAATGACCGCTTGTCTAGAACAACTACTTTTTGTGTTTCGCTTGGGCAATCGCTATAGACAGGGTCGACCGTCCAAAGATTAACCAATAACTGATAATCATTTGGAGGGGAAAAGGGTTGTTTTTTTACATTTAACTTCCGCCTACTGCGCGTAAGGTGAAGGAGAAACTTCATTCAAATATAAATTGGACTTTATACACTGTTGGTCATAATGGTGGAATATTTATTTTTACCCCAGTTTAGGGAAGGATTTAAAAAAATTATTTATTTCTAATAGATCTAGATAATGGCATACATTCTCAGATTTTATTGAATATTAATTTGAGAGTGTTTGTTTTGCGTGACTGCTTAATCATAATTGTGCTACTATGCTAATCAGCTAAGGGACCTACGTCCTTAAGTCATAATTGACAGTAATGAGGATTAATGCCTCACAAAAGGGCACTTATATATAGCTGATCGACTCGATTTTTATCCCGGGGCCTCACAGTAACGAGGCCATTGCTTAGCCCCTGAATCATGACTGTACGCAGTGTTTGCTAGGGTACGCGGCCCCTTCCACAAATCCCCCAAAACGAAGAAAATGCAATAAATTGTCAAAAATTCAATGCATTTTCCCCCGGCCCCCAACAGGAAAAAACTTCTCTGTAGGGCCATGCATTATGGTTCAAGGCATGGCCACCATTATGACCAACAGTGTACATAACAAACAGTAAAACGTATTTTTGAACTTTGCTCAAATGTCTGCAACAAACAAGAATAGAATCATATTAATAATGGCTGAACACGGGAACAAAACAGAATACAATATATGCTGGGTATAATTACTTTGACAATACGGTCCAAACCAGCTATCAAGGCATTGTCCATTACAATGACCCCTCTCCGTCTCGCAAGCTTCTGCAGCACATTGACATTGCTGAAGACAATCAATGCCAAAGGTACCCCCTTCACACTCTGAAAAAATAAAACACAATTCATGTTTATATTGGAGACATCTGACCAATGATTATTATTGAATACTAAAGGCGAAGATAACTTTCGCTCGGGTCTACTTGTACGCATGAAGTTAACAATGGAACAAGCAGTTGGCACACACCCTTTTTCAGATTGTTAAAGTTTCCCTCCATCAATGAAAACACTTTAAATGGAATACTTTGTCATGATTGGGTGAATCCAAACAATGAATACGATATATTAAACAAATATTTACGGCTATTTTTTACCTCACTATTCAAATTAAAATACATGTACATGTAGCTCCTCGGTGTTCTTGAGATTGCACTATGCCCCTCGTCTTGTCTTGGGGCATAATATAATACAACATCACGTTGGGCGAATAATCACAATAGTAACCATGCCCTTCAAAGAAGTCAATATTTGTCTACTAGAAGCCCCTCCAAAGTATACATTATAATAATGTATTTACTATCTCAGCACTATGTACATAGTATATGGTTGATATGACCAATGTACATACTGTACATGTACATGTAGTTATGAGCGTTCATACATGGTACATAAAAACAAAATACCTGTGTGTCAATTAGCACACTGTACCATTCATGTATGTACATGTTGTATGTAGACTGAAGATAAATAAATAGAAATTGATTTGAAAAATTCAACACCCTTTATTGTCAAATAGTATTTTACCTTGACATTGGACCTGGCCATTACTGCGTACTTTGTATCCTAGAGCACACTTCTGCTCAGGGCACTCTCCAGTCTGTTTCTCACATGATTCATCATTCAAGCAATGACATTTATCAGTGCATTGAGATCCATAGTAACCGGCTTCACATTCATCTGGAACTGAGGATGCCAAGAAAATATTTTAGAAATCATAATTTAGCAAGCACCAGCAAATAATATTAGATGAAGTCCACAATGATATGGTTGTTTCCCTTACACAATTCTTTTCCTTGTAACTAGTTTGAATTGTTTCCGAGCACTATATACCAACTTCAATTATGGCACATATTATTACTGAATTTAACCGTGCCTTCACTAAATAAGTTCATGTATTTGTTGAATATGTCATCCATGAACATAAGGAAAATGGAATATATTGGACCGCAAAACATAGGATCTGGATATGTCTACAACAATAAATATAATAACTTCAAATGAAAACTACTGAGTTATGCAGTAGGGTTGCAGGAGCAATCCGGTTCATATAGGCATAGGTAAACAACAAATAACAGGAAGTTTATTACAAAGCTGCAGTGTACATGTAAACATTCTGATTTCTCTTATTTGGGGAGAGCATTTATGTCATATCATTTGTTATCATTGCTGACCATGACTTACTTTGACAACTGTCCCCAGACCAGCCAGTCTGACACCCCCCTGTACATATTCCACTATAGATGTTACATGATGAACCACCGCCTGCACAGTGACATGTCTGTGAACATCCTGCACCATATGTACCACTAGTACAACCTGTAATAGAATTCAAAATGCAAAATAAAGATGGACAGCTACAATGTATTCGTCAGATGCAGAAAGGAAAATATTGTGCATGTTACGATAGCTTCTTTTTAATTAATCTTCATCTCCTCCTCCTCCTTCTCCTTCTCTTCCCCCCCCCCCCACTTTTATTTTCTTCTTCTTCTTCTTCTCCTTCTTTTGTCCAATGAGTTGCCCCTGACCTCACTCATGAATCTAGCCACATTATGATATGTGCTATATGAGGCCTAAATGTATATATTTTAATTATTAGAATTTGAGCACAATTAAATAACTTCGGAGGACTTACGTGTGTTACATCCAAGACCATGGGCACCGACGTCACATGAACATCCATAAGGATCAGGTAGGCAAAAAAGATACCCATGACATTTTGTGGCAGGATCATTGTTTCTAGTACATCGAAACTCGCAGTTCAATCCAAATCGATTTCCACCATCATTTCTACAAACTGAAGAAGAAAAAAAATAGTTGCATTGTTGAATCAAAACCTTGTAGACTTGTCTAAGAAATAAGATTTCATGAGATAAATTTCAAATATGGTTGCTTCTCCTTTGCAAATTGCCGATGGTGTCTTATTCTCTTTGAAAATAATAGTTTTTACTACATTGAATAAAGCCCTCCCATATCACGGATAGCAAAGTTTGTCGATCATACAAATTAATGTTATTGAGACATTTATTTAGATACTATTTATATATTTCATATGGTATTAAGGAATAACAACTAAAGCAAATCTTTTCCCCTGCTGTTTGTTATTTTCATTCATTTTTGCATTGATTCACTCGATGTACAGTGTATAAACATTACATGTATATGTAGAAAGAACCTCAGCTCTGGTAGAGAGGGACACTTTACAAAGTATTTACAAACTCATTTTACTGCTAATAAGACATAACATAGATAATATACTATAACAAATCAGAAATCAACTTGTTATAAACAGAATCATAAATGATAAATCAACATTATTCTTGCAAATAATTTCTGGTAAAATAAAGATTTACAAGTACATATATAAGAATGTCGTCAGGTAGAAGAAAGACATATTTGAAATTGAACATGTAGAATAGATGTACATTACCATTTTCTATGGAATAAGAAAAGAATATCTTCCTAAGTTCATTAAATAAATCGATACCGGTATCCGCCAGGCTCTGACGCTCGTGGTACTTTACACATATTACCCTGATTATAGCCGAGCTGCCAGGTAACTAGCGCTTATTAAGAGATAAACATCATTTAAAATTAAGCTCTACAGGCCTACTTACTTTCTAAACAATTCGGTCCCTTGAAGTTGTTAGGACAGATACACAGACCAGACTTGTCATCACAGACTCCACCATTGTAGCATTTATCACAGATACCATAACACTCAGGGGGACCCCACTTACCAGCAGCGCATTCTATTTGAGAAAGGGAGGGAGAAAAATAATTAAGTATACATGTCACTAAAGATTACATCATGACACGGAAGACAAAAGATAGAAGATAAGCAGGGTAATATAAAATGGAAGTAGACAAGTGCAAAGTTTGTTACAAAATAATGTTCTCGAACGTACAACTATTGAATATCGTATGCCATAGGCTCTGTCACATTCTGAATTTACATACGGGTAATTTTAAACTACCCATATATGTCAAAATCACAACACAGATCATGACATGCTGACACCTGAATTTTATCGTTGAATTTTCATAAATATTTTGGAACAAAATTTGCAATGGGGAAAGAGATGTCCATGTTACGATAACGCGACATCCGGAAAAGATCAGGCTTGGACATTATCTACTAGAATGCTCTAAAACTAATTGTTTTGTCAAGTGTTCAAATTTAAAAAAAAAAATTAATAATGAGTTGTCCACATGTAATTTGCATAAAAATCCAATGATTCTAAAATAAAGATTTATTGGCGAAATATGAAGCAGAGCCTTTTACATGCATCATAACAAACAATATTATATAAATAAGAAATGACCCCTCTCAAAATGCCCAGTCTGAATTAAGCAGAAATACACTTGTACATAATATACCTCTGACGATGAGTTTGTATAATCCTCCTCTATTTTGATCCCTCTCGTTATCATAGTAGATCTCATAGATTCCTTGGTCTGATGTCTGGATTGGGTTTGGGAAGCTGATCTGAGTCTGCCCACCAAATGATGTAAGAACCTCACTTCCATCTTTCATCCAAGTAATCACGTTGCCATTCGCATCAGGATTATTACGACTAGTCATGCTGATCATCACTCCAGTTTCATTCACATTGACTGTCTTTGTAAACAATCCATCCCTTGATATGAATTTAGCTGTTAAAAGGGATGATAATAATAAATGAACCAAATAAAAAATGTAATAATAATAATACATGTAGCACCTACATGTACATGTAATGTGCACTGTAGCCATTTACTCCCTAAAGGAAACATACATTTATATAAGGCTTGCATTCATATACGTGCATATTGAAATATATATTTCAAAATATTCACTTGCATGTTGGAATAAATTTGTTCCTGTTGATATTTTTCAATAACAAGTTTAGATCGTTTTAAATATTCGAACATTGCCGCAACTAGTCTGGTGTATTTCAAAATCTTTGGACTTCTGTTTGACAATGTTAATGTTAGTAAACAACATCAACACAAATGGGCATGTTCAGGCTTAACGCAATACCGTGCATGCTTTGCTTATGATAAATTTTTGAAACTTTTGTGCTATTTACACAAAAGTCTAAAATCTCTTAAAAATAATCGTACTCTGGTATTTTCAGATTCATTCTCAGTATATATGTAAAGCATCAAACCTTTGTTATAGCCATTCTCAAGCAAACAATGTTCAAAAGCATCATAAGCGGAACTATTTTATTGAATCACTCTCACTCCTGATCCTCAGTAAAACGTTTTGCGGTATAGACGCTTCTTTGCAAAAAAAATCCACAGTACCTGTTTTTACATTTTTTGATCGTTCATTGTTGTAGAAAAAGAGTTTCTTACATTGTATTGTTAAGTTATATTCAAGACTTGGAATTTTACTACTGCAAATGCGATTTCTGTCCTTAACCTGTCCTGAACCAAGATGTAAAAGTAGAGGGAAAAAACCTTAGATATGATCTTTAGATTTTTCTTTCAATACTTAACAATAACAAAAATGTAAATTATGTAGATGTGTGACCATGATTTGTACGTTCCCTGGTAAACCAAAGCCAGGAATGGTTCGAGGAAATAGTGACATGAACAGCCTGCCATAGTTCAAGTACAATCTATATCGATCATAGTCTTTGTGAAACACTCCCCGAGAGTGTAGTTTTTTTTAAACGCCTGCCAAGATTCCACAGATTTGTTGCAGTGTAAATGCAATCTTCGGTAAGATACGCATTATCGCCCCCATGACTCTCCTCGCTTCCATGGTAACACACGCAGTAGAGCACCGACAAGTGGCACATGCGCACTACTCACAAACAAAATCGGTATGGACAAAATTCAACGGTTTTGTTTTAGGTTTTTTTTTCCAGTAGTGTAAATAGTAGTCATAAAAATTGATGATTCTTCAAATTGGTGTTTGGGAAACATGTTTAAATGGGCCAATAGTAGTGCATTGTTTTTAAATGAAGATCACTACGTGATGTTCCATGCAGTGGCGGATCCAGGGGGGGCACAGGGGGCACGTGCCCCCCCCCCCTCCGGCCAAAAAAAAAGAAAAGGAGAAAAGGAGGGGGAAAGAAAAGGGAGAGGAAAAAGAAAAAAAAGGGAAGAGAGAAAGAAGAAGAAAAGAGGGGGAAAGAAAAGGGGAGAGGAAAAAAGGAGGGGAAAGGGAAAGACAGAGAGGAGAGAAAAGGCGGAAAAAGAAGAAACGCGGAAAGACGGAGGAGAGAAAAGGGGGAAAAGGAGAATAATGAGAAGGGAAAAGAAAGAAAGGGGGATGATATTATAAGAAGGTTTTTTTTACCGGGGTAGGGGCGGGGGGGGGGGGATGCAATTTTAAGTCGAACATGACTAATACCAAAGATTTTATCTCCTTTATAACTTATAGCTTATAACTTAGTCTTGAATTAATTTTCCGATATACCTATTCTAAGTGTTCTTTCAGCATGCAGATTGTCCCCGCCATTAATCCTGCCACAGTTGCTGGTTTCATTGTCATATTATTTTCTGTCATCCCTGTGGCCGCGAAATTTCTATCCGTTTCGCAAGCACTTTTTTTCCATCGCCTACATGTAATGTTTATTGCTTCCAGTTTGCAAAAGATCCCAGTGGCGGATCTGTAGGGGATGGGGGAGGGGTTGGGGGTTTAACCCCCCCCCCCCCTTGGGCTGCCAAGTGAAAATGTGATGTGAATAGAAAAACGCATGTGTCCAGACCCACACAGTATCCGTATCGTCATCGGGTGAAACCCCCTTAAACTGTTACTTGATTTAAAAAGACGTTATCATGAACTGCTGTTTATGGTCTCTATTGTGTTAGTAGATGCCAGGAAAATATCACTTACGGGGGTTCAAAATAGCCCCCCAAAAATCGCCTCGCCGCTATGCGGCTCGGACTTTGAGGCTCGTGGACAATGCTCTACATCGTCATTGGGTCGAACCCCCTCAAACTGTTACTTGATTTAAAAATACATTATCATGCACTGCTGTTTATGGTCTCCATTGTGTTTGTAGATGCCAGGAAAACATCACTTACGGGGTTCAAAATAGCCCCCCCCCCCCCAAAAAAAAAAAAAAAAAAAAAAAAAAAAAAATCGCCTCGCCGCTACGCGGCTCGGACCTTGCGGCTCGTGGACGATGCTCCGCATCGTCTCTCAAACTGTTACTTGATTGAAAAAGACGTTATCATGAACTGCTGTTTATGGTCTCCATTGTGTTAGTAGATGCCAGGAAAATATCACTTACGGGGTTTCAAAATAGCCCCCCCCCCAAAAAAAAACAAAAACAAAACAAAACAAAAATCGGCGGCTCGTGGACGCATCGTCATGGGTCGAACCCCCGTTAAACTGTTATTTGATTTAAAAAGGCGTTATCATGCACTGCTTTTTATGGTCTCCATTGTGTCAGTATATAGATGCCAGGAAAACATTACTGACGGGGGTTTAAAATAGCACCCCCAAAATCGCCTCGCCGCTACACGGCTCGTGGACAATGTTCTGCATCGTCTTTGGGTCGACCCCTCTTAAACTGTTACTTGATTTAAAAAGACGTTATCGTGCACTGCTTTTGATGTGAATAGAAAAACGCATGTGTCCAGACCCACACAGTATCCGTATCGTCATCGGGTCGAACCCCCTTAAACTGTCACTTGATTTAAAAAGACGTTATCGTGCACTGCTTTTTATGGTCTCCATTGTGTTAGTAGATGCCAGAAAAATATCACTTACGGGGGTTCAAAATAGCCCCCCAAAAATCCAAAAATCCATAAGGTCTACGCGGCTCGGACTTTGAGGTGCGTGGACGATGCTCTGCATCGTCATTGGGTCGAACCCCCTCTAACTGTAACTTGATTTAAAAATACATTATCATGCACTGCTGTTTATGGTCTCCATTGTGTTTGTAGATGCCAGGAAAACATCACTTACGGGGTTCAAAATAGCCCCCCCCCCCCAAAAAAAAAAAAAAAAAAAAAAAAAAAAATCGCCTCGCCGCTACGCGGCTCGGACCTTGCGGCTCGTGGACGATGCTCCGCATCGTCTCTCAAACTGTTACTTGATTGAAAAAGACGTTATCATGAACTGCTGTTTATGGTCTCCATTGTGTTAGTAGATGCCAGGAAAATATCACTTACGGGGTTTCAAAATAGCCCCCCCCCCCAAAAAAAAAAAACAAAAACAAAAACAAAAATCGGCGGCTCGTGGACGCATCGTCATGGGTCGAACCCCCGTTAAACTGTTATTTGATTTAAAAAGGCGTTATCATGCACTGCTTTTTATGGTCTCCATTGTGTCAGTATATAGATGCCAGGAAAACATTACTGACGGGGGTTTAAAATAGCACCCCCCAAAATCGCCTCGCCGCTACACGGCTCGTGGACAATGCTCTGCATCGTCTTTGGGTCGACCCCTCTTAAACTGTTACTTGATTTAAAAAGACGTTATCGTGCACTGCTTTTGATGTGAATAGAAAAACGCATGTGTCCAGACCCACACAGTATCCGTATCGTCATCGGGTCGAACCCCCTTAAACTGTCACTTGATTTAAAAAGACGTTATCGTGCACTGCTTTTTATGGTCTCCATTGTGTTAGTAGATGCCAGAAAAATATCACTTACGGGGGTTCAAAATAGCCCCCCAAAAATCCAAAAATCCATAAGGTCTACGCGGCTCGGACTTTGAGGTGCGTGGACGATGCTCTGCATCGTCATTGGGTCGAACCCCCTCTAACTGTAACTTGATTTAAAAATACATTATCATGCACTGCTATTTATGGTCTCCATTGTGTTTGTAGATGCTAGGAAAACATCACTTACGGGGTTCAAAATAGCCCCCCCCCCCCCCAAAAAAAAAAAAAAAAAAAAAAAAAAAAAAATCACCTCGTCGCTACGCGGCTCGGACCTTGCGGCTCGTGGACGATGCTCCGTATTAAAAATACATTATCATGCACTGCTATTTATGGTCTCCATTGTGTTAGTAGATGCCAGGAAAATATCACTTACGGGGTTTCAAAATAGCCCCACCCCCCAAAAAAAAAAATTAAAAAAATCGGCGGCTCGTGGACGCATCGTCATGGGTCGAACCCCCGTTAAACTGTTATTTGATTTAAAAAGGCGTTATCATGCACTGCTTTTTATGGTCTCCATTGTGTCAGTATATAGATGCCAGGAAAACATCACTGACGGGGGTTTAAAATAGCACCCCCAAAAATCGCCTCGCCGCTACACGGCTCGTGGACAATGCTCTGCATCGTCTTTGGGTCGACCCCTCTTAAACTGTTGCTTGATTTAAAAAGACGTAATTATCATGCACTGCTTTTTATTGCCATTGTGTCAGAAGATGTCAGGAAAACATCACTTACGGGGTTCCAAAATAGCAACAACAACAAAATAGCGTCGTCGCTTCGCGGCTCGTGGACGATGCTCCGTGGCGTCATTGGGTCAACCCCCCCCCCCCCCCCCTTAGCAAAAAGCCAGATCCCATCATCCGCTCCTGGATCCCTACTCTTTGAGGGGGTAGGAAAAAGCAATTTTACATCATATTACTCCAGGAAGTGCCTGAAAATGCACCTAATGTGGTTATAAAATTGCAAATGCTTCCTACTCAGGGAGGGGTTCTGACCCCCTCCCAGACCCACCCCCGCTTGGTCGCTCCGCTCCCTCGCCGCTG